ATTTGGGGGGGTTCAGGGGTGAGGGGACCCCCAAATTTCAGCTGCCCAAGGTGGCACTGAGTCCCCAAGTCTTGCAGTGACTCCCCCCCAAGCACAGGGGTTCTTCAGGGACCCCCTGAAATGGTGATGGGGGATCTCTTGCTCCCCCAGACCCTCTTTAACTGTCTTTACCCCACCAAAAAAAAATCCTAACCTGGCTTTTGGGGGTGGGGGTGTTTGAAGCTTTTTTTGCCCATTTTCCAGGTGTTAATACTAACCGGGGAGGTGGGGGGACAGCAGCATTGCCCCCCATCCCCTTGCTCTTGGCTCAGCTGGAATAAATGTTAATCCCCCCAAAAAAGCCCTGAGCGTGTCTGTGGGGTCTGGAGATGGGTTTTGGGGAACCAGGGGTGGGTTTTGGGCAGCTGGGATGGGTTTTGGGGGACCAGGGGTGGGCTTCAGGGGGTTCCTCCACCCATGCTGCAGTCCCTGGTGCAGGGGAGCGGTTGCTCCTGGCGACGATGTCGGCAACCGAAGGTGCTGTCGTGGTGATGGCGGAACTGGCAGTGCTGTTGGGTGTCCCAAGCCCCAGCTGGGTGTCCCAAGACCCGTTTGGTGGCCTAAGCCCCCGTTGGGTGTCCCAAGCCGTAGCTGGGTGCCGAGCGGTGGGTACCAAGCCCCCCAAACCATGGGGACACTGGTGGTCGGCACCGAGTGCTACGACGTGGTGGCCACGGTGGGGAAGGGGACGTTCGGGGAGGTGACGCAGGGCTGGCGGAGGAGCACGGGGGAGATGGTGGCCATCAAGATCCTGAAGAACGACGGCCACCACAGCTGGGTGGTGAAGAACGAACTGAGGCTGATGCAGGCCCTGCGGGAGGTGGACACAGAGGGGTCGCACATCGTCCGCTTCCTCGAGCCCTTCAGCGACGGTGCCCGCACCTACCTGGTCTTCGAGCTGCTGGAGCAAAACCTCTTTGATTTCCAAAAGCAAAACAATTTCTTGCCATTGCCCATCCGGCACATCCGTACCATCACGGCCCAGGTGTTGGTGGCGTTGGCCAAGCTGAAGGAGCTCTCCATCATCCACGCCGACCTCAAGCCCGAGAACATCATGCTGGTGGACCATGCGCGCTATCCCTTCCGCGTCAAGCTCATCGATTTCGGCTCGGCCAGCATGTTCACTGATGTCCGCCACCTCAAGGATCCCTACATCCAATCCCGCTTCTACCGAGCGCCAGAGATCCTGTTGGGGTTGCCTTTCTCTGAGAAGGTAGACATCTGGTCTTTGGGCTGTGTGGTGGCTGAGCTCCACTTGGGTTGGCCGCTCTACCCCGGCGCCAATGAGTACGACCAAGTCCGCTACATCTGCTCCACCTTGGGGCTACCACGGGGTGAGCTGCTCTGCGCCGCCCGGAAGGCGCGGTCCTTCTTCCGACGGGTGCCGCATCCCACCAGTTCCTGGCAGCTCAAACCGCCGGGTGAAGCGATGGTGAAGGCAACGGAGAGGAGGAAATTTGTCTTCTCCTCGCTGGATCAGCTGGCAGCGGTGAACATCTGCCCGGTGGCTTATCCCAGCCAGGAGGCACTAGCCGAGCGCTGCGACCTGTGCGGGATGGTGGATCTGGTGAAGAGGATGCTCACCTGGGACTCGCATGAGAGGATCATGCCCAGTGCCGCCCTCAAGCATCCCTTCATCTCCCTGCAGGAGGTGAGGTCCGGCTTTGAGGCCACACGGTACTACCAGCTGTGCCAGAAGGACCTGAGGGCATCTCGCAAGGATTCTGGCGCCGGTGGGATCTTCCCCGGCATGGAGGAAGGCGCCTTCGTCCCCGCCAGCCACTGCAGCATCCAGAAGGCCATCGCCCAGATGGATGGGCTCAGCTTGGCCGAGCCGGTTGGGGACACCGGTGACAAGAGCCAGCAGGACGTCAGCCAAGTCCCCATCCCCACCCACTACAGCACTGGGCAGCGCCGGCATCACCGGCGGCCCAAGACGGAGCCCTCTGCGAGGAATCTCATTGTGCTGGGGTCCCCCGGCAGCGGGGGACAGCACAGCCATCGTGGTGGCAGCGTGGTCAGTGGTGGCATCATGGAGCAGAACCTGTCGGGGAGACCCTACACCTTGCCCCACACCAAGGTACAGCCACAGGGCAGGGGGCTGGCACGGAGACCAGGGCTGGCACGGGGACTGGGGGCTCACATGGGCACCAGGGGGCTCACACGGGGACCAGGGGCTCTGGGACACTTAGGGTCCCTGGGTGCTCCGGGTCCCTGGTGTCCCCATGCCATGGGTGCTCAGGGTCCCTGGGTGCCCCAGGTCCCCCTCAAGGGGTGGGGACCCCACCCACAGGCGCCTCTCACCCCCTCCTCACACTTCTCCTTCCCCCAGCAGAGAGCTCCGGTGATGCAGCGCGACCCCAAGCCCCCACATCCCATCCCCCTTCCTGAGGACAGGCTCTGAGGGCCCGGTTGGGATCCCCCCACCGTATCCGGCACAATCCTCCTGGCACAGAGCCAGCAACACCCGCAGCACCGCTGAGCCACGGCGGCGACCCCAGCAGACACCCCGTTAGCCGAGAGCTCACCAAAGACCCTCCTCTTCCTCACCTTCGGTCACCCCAACCAGCAAAACCCAGCCCCGTGCCAGGACGCACCGGCATGTGCCACACCGGACACCGCCAGCACCGTTCTTGCCATGATCCCCCAATAAATGGTTTGCAAACGGCCGAGCATTTCATTTAACTCTTTACCGGGATGGGTTTGGCGCTGCCGAGATGCAAGCGGCGTCCTGATTTCCCTCCCGGTGCTGGTGCGGCACTCGGCAAAGCCCCGGTGCTCTCCATTAGCACAGAGTGGAGGACCCCCCCACACACCTCAGTAACAGCAACATGGAGACCAGAAAAAGTATTTTTTTCTGTGTTTTTCCCCAAATTGAAGTGGGGCGGCTGGATTCTGTGCAGCCAGAACCTGTGGGTCACCAGCAGTCCCTTTCCCAACACCTAACGAGAGCCGCAGAGGCTCTCCCAGCGCTCAGTGTCATCGATGTCAGCACTGTACTGGGAGCTCCAGTCCCGCTCAAAAACTACCTGCAGCTGCTCCCTGATGGTGCCGGCACCGGTTCGGCTCACTGTCTGGTTCACCACCAGCGCCGATCCTGCCGTCCGTGTGAAGTAGTCACCAGACCAGTTGGATGTCCCTGCAAAGAGATTGGGGAGGGATCCCAAAAAAAACCTCAAACCACCGTCACCAGCAGCCGGCAGTTACCTGTGCGGTGGTGCTGCCGCTCGTGCCGTGCTCACCGATATAAGCCGCCTTCTCCGTCACCATGTACTTGTTGTGGTTCACGCGAGCGTAGGGGATCTGGGCTTGCGCCGCGCTTGCTGGCACCATGAAAAGCCGCTGCAAGGAGCGAGGATGACCGTCACCCACCAAAACATCACCCGCTGGCGTGCCGCGGCCGCGCCGCGATACCCACCACCTCCACGCTGTAGCGGGTCCGGTTGTCAGCGACGGCGGCGAGGGATTTGAGGAAGGGGAACATGACAGCTTTGCTGTGCGGCCAACAACCCACCAACAACCGGACCTTGACCCAGCGTTCAAAGACAGCCTTCCGCAGCCGGTTATCAATTGCTGGCCAAAATCTGGGGAGGGAAAGCAGTTTAGGTTTCACCGGTGCCGGTAAGCCAGGGTTGGATAGGACGATACAAACCTTTGGGGGTGGGAGAATTCGGTGGTGGGGAGGTAACTCATCACCGCAATGTCCACAAAGTCCTCGGCGGCGTCGATGATGTTGAGGAGGGCGCTGAGATCCGGGGTCCGACCAGCTGCACAGAGAGCCGGTGGCGAGCTCTGCAGGAACAGGTGGAGGCAGATCAAGCACTGGCACAGACAATCCTCGGCACTGGGAAAACCAACCATGGCAGATCGGAGACGTACCGAGAAGTAGACGGCAGCGTCAGTGCCGTTAAGCTTCAACTCCAATGGCGTCTCCATGTTGAAGGCGGTGGAATAATTTGCCGGCCACGGTACCGGGATGGAAGCACCGGGAACGCCGAGAGCCCAATAAGCTTCAAAAATTTTGCCTAAATCTTTGGCCAAACAGCTGCAGTTGTAGACAGCAGCGCCAAGCTCCTTCACCTGCAGCAAGAGACACGGAGGCACCATCATATCACTGGACAGTGTCACCATCCCTCTCCAGTGCCGTAAATCCCATCTTATGGCATGCCTCAATTGGGACGTGATGAGTAGGTTTTGGCATTGCCCCGGCACCATCCAGTGCTCTGACGGTGCTGCTCACCTGGGGCAAAGACCTCCAGTCCATG